TTTCTTTAAATGTGAAGGTGCGTATTTAATAAGTGTTGAATATATTTTCAGTAAACTTCTATCAGATTACTCTTCATATTCTTCATATCCACACCTATTTGTGACCCAAGACCACAAAAGGGCTGTAAACTCACCAGGTTTCGAGAAAAAGAGCCTAATAGACAGTATACATGTAATTTGAGCAAAATGTGATTATATCATAAATATAAAGTATTACCTTTATTCGTACAATTTTAAATGTTTGGGTTCTCAACTCTAAATCCTAAAATTTAGTAATTTTATGAAGGCCATTCTACGAGAAACGTATATAAATTTACCAACTTTCAAACCGCCATACTTCGCTTCCAAACAACTTATTCACCTACATAAAATTCAGGCCCCCAACTAGATAAATGAAAACTATCGGATAATAATACGTTTATTAGTACTCGTATGCTATGTTTGTGATTTCAGAATAAACAAACAGTATAGTTATAAAATAGTAGAATGGTCACATAGTTAGTGAAGGTAAGTCTAAAACGTATTCATGAAGTCATTCAAAATCGTGTACAAAATAGTTGAACAAACTTTAATGTATGTTCCGAAAGTATTTGTAGTGCATCGTACTGTGGTACTAAGCTTATGTAATTGTATACCTAAATCAGGGAACAGTAAAATTACAATTTCACTGTTACCTGCCTAAATGTAGGAAATAACCTTGAATTAATTCAAAGTATACTAAACTATTTCATGACCAGTTCTCTTGCAGTGAAGTGGATCAGAAATGATGTAGATTGCGGTTGAGTACATGTTAAGAAACTAGTTGTGGTTATTGAAACTTTAAAAAAATATTGACGCCAGCAGAACAATCACCAGCACTATTTTCAGCGATGTGAAACTAAAACGTATTGATGAAGTATATTCACACAACGTCATTCAAGTCATGTAGAAAATAGTTAAACAGCTTTAAAGAACCAAACAAAAACGTGCGTGTCAACATTACAATTGCTTTAGAAATATATCTTCAAAAGTAATTTTCTAGATCATAGCACCATTGTACAGACTATCTTTAGTACTAAATGAAAACAATACCCTTGAAGTAATTCAAAAGATACGAAGCGGTTCATGTCTTGTTTAAAAAAAAAAATTATCTTGCAGTGAGGCAATTT